GCAAATGTCATATCGTGCCAAGCAAATATTCAGTTGCATTACATGTACGTATTGATGACATCTTACACATGCCAGTGGATATGTACTCTAATGACTTACATCAGCACAGTTGCACTGATAACAGAGGAGTACTTCATCTGGAAGCATTTAAATTGGCGTTCACCACTGGGCCTCATTTTGTTTCCTGTTGCTTTTGTGGGGAGTCCCCATGGCTTTGCTCCCTGCAGCAAAAGGCTGAAGCCAGGATAAAAAACACCTCTACTCCTTGTGTCTGCTGTTGGTTTGATAAGTCCTCTACACCGGCAAAGGGAGAGGATACCGAAGTTGTTGCAACAGCCCAAGGGCATCTCTCAGGGTTTGCTCAGAGAAATCTAAAGCACCTGAATCTCTTTGATCATAACCTCATCCTTGAGGAAGCAACGATCTACTCCATGTTGGCACGGCACCTATCCTCTGACAAATTCTCCCTCACCCAAACTCATCCCTGGAAAGATTGAATGGTCGAATCACTACAAGATTGCATCTCATTTCAGCTCTTCTCAAAGTGAGCTTTCATCTCGGTGCTCGCTGTGAAAAAAAAACCCTGGCGGACAGTTAGATGTTCCCGCCTGTTTCCAAACAACTATACTGAAATGATTTAAATTAACTTTAAACAGAAGAATAAAAGGACATATTGATATAAAGAATAGTCATGTAAATATTGTTTGTATTTCCTGTAATCACCCCAAATATAACATTACCTCACTCCATGCAAAAGGCTGATGGAAAGACATAAAATTTGCAATCAGCTGAATGAGGATTAATTGATAAGATGGGGGATTGGGAGGGACTGGGGTTTAGATTCCCCCCCCATTTCTTGGCTTCGACTCTTGCTGTGGCAGCCAATGAAGGATGCCAGGAAACCACACTGAGAGCAAGTTAGATTGCATAAACTTAAAACCTCAAGGTACAGTGTGTTCAATAAACACTGGGACTTGTTTCAGCAAGTAAATTCAGGTAAATCCATCAAATACTCAAACATTGCCAAGACAATTTTATCCTAACCTCACCTCATTACTGCTGACCTTCAGCGCTGAACAAAAAGAAGCAGCCATGTCGAATGTATCCCACTGCTGCAGAAATGAATATATTCATGTACTACTGTACAGACTGGAAAGCACATATACACATACAGGAAACAGTGAAATATCATAACACCTCCTACAGACTATACAGATACAAGAAATCATCAGATGTGGAAGTACTGAGATCTTTTACTTAAGTAAAAGTAATACCACAGTGTAGAAATACTCCGTTACAAGTAAACATTCTGCATTCAAATTATTACTTAAGGAAAAGTACAAAGGTACTGGCATCAAAATATGGGCTGCTTAATATACTGATTGTAAAAATACTCATTTTGCGAAACGGCATAGTTTCTTGTTAATATTTCATCTTATGGAAAGTAAAGTACAAGCACTTCAAAATTGTACTTTCAGCACAGTATGAGTGGATGAACTTAGTTGCTCTCCACCATTGCCATCAACAATATTGTGTTTGCTTTAATGAAAATACACCCTTTATATAGGAAGACCTGGTTAGATCCCATGACCATCTTCCTCCTTTTCCTACTCATCATCACCCCCAACACCACCTTCCTCATCAACAGCATCACCCTCATTTTTTTTATTGTTATGGACTCATTGGATATCATCATTATCACTCTTACTGTTGTGATGGTCACCAACTTCATCATCACCTTGGTTATAACTGTCATCAACATCATCTTTAATCTGTAGTTGTTTCTGGCTTAATGGATGTCACGATTACCATTGCTGTTGCCATGAGCATGTTCATCACCATCATCAACATAATCATATAAAAGATGCAACCACAGCCATTATCATAATCTTTGTCTTTGTCATGGCTGTGACATCGAAAACGTCAGTGCCTTGGTCATTGGTCATTACTATCATCATCATCATCATCATCATCATCATTATCACCACCATCACCACCATCACAGCAGGCATTAACATCATCTTTAGTCTGTAGTTGTTTAAGGCTTAATGGACATCATCATTACAATTACGGTTGCCATGAGCATGTTCATAACCATCATCAACATACTCATCATCATCAAGCTGTCACCACCACCATCATCATAATCACCATTATCATGGCTGCAACATCAGAATCATCAGTGCCATTGTTGCTGTCATTATCAGCATCATCTTCATCACCATAATGCCATAAACATTTTCATCTTTTTTATTAACAGCAATCCCCTGGTTTCATCATCATCATCATCATCATCATCACCATCATGGGCAGCATTCTTACTATTGTGGCTGTCACCATCAACTTTATCATCACCACTGGTTGTTGCTGCCATCAACATTATGTTTACAACATCTTGTTTATGGCTTAATGGCTGTCCTTATGGCTGACATCATCATTACCATGAGCATGTTTATCACCATCATCAACATACTCATCATCATTGCTGCAACCACAATCATCATCATAATCATCTTTGTCATGGTAGTGACATTGAAATCATATCAGCATCTTCTTCACCACCATAATGCCATGAACATTTTCATATGTTATTTAAACAACATGACCATGATTTCAACATGGTTGTATTTATCATTAATTTCAGCATCATCATTGTAGTTGTCTGATGTCATCATCCTTGGCATTATTGTCATCGCTGTAATAGGTAACACCATTATTATCATTATCAACATTTCCATTATTGTTGTTGCTGTCATCATCGACATCATGGCTTACACCATCATTAACATCAACATCTTTATTGACAGGCTGATCATTTGCACTTTCTCCCCTCTTCTTGTTCTGGCTACACACATATCTGTACTTTGAGGCGCACGCACACACACACACACACACACACACACACACACACTCCTGCCATAATCCCCTGACCTTTTTTGTCAGGAGTTTCTGGAAGCCTTCCAGAGGAGAGTTATGATGTGCCGCTACACTGTGGCCACTGCCTGCTGCGACAGAGGGAACTGAACAACTAGGAGAAAAAAAAAACAAACAACAAACACTACAAAGGACAGAGAATGATAGAAGTGATGTAATGAGCTCTGCACCAAGAGAAACGGAGGAAAGGACAAACAAAGTATACACACAGACACACACACACAAGGAGATGGTGTTTTACCTAGATGTGCCTCATATTAATTTCCCGCTAGATTTTTTGTTTTCTTTTACCCCATTTCCTTTTGCCAATTCAGGTTTGGTTTTTTTTCTAAAGCTATGTCTATTTTATATTCTCTGTTGGAAAGAAAACAACTTCTGCAGTTATCCAATATGTAGAGACACTAATACGTAGTTCCTTCTTCCAATATCTGCTGCATAATGTCCTCAGTAATGTATCAACTTTTGCCTTTACTCATATACAAATAAAGTAAAATAGAGGGTTAACCCACCATGGTTGGTTAATACAGTACTTAGTCAAAGTTTCCTCATAGGAATCATATTGCTGCACATTCTTTTCAGTAGAGTACTTTGAGGGACACTTTTACATACAGACAAAAACATAATTGAGTCACATTCATATCAGTGTTTCATAGTTGAAGGTGTTAACATCATTTTGTCTACCCCTTCAATTGTAAGTTTTTTAAACACACACTGTAAACCTTCTGACATAAACACTATCTTTATGCCTCTCCCACTCCCATAACAACTGAACATCTTTTTATCCTCTTGTCTCGGAAGTAACGCTTTTCTATTTCCTTGCTTGGTTAATTTTTAATTCCACACAGACTCACTGATCTCTCTCTGGACCCGAGTCCCTCAGTGGTAAAACATCAGTGGGATAAACGATGTGTGCTGCCGCATGTACTGCTGGAGATAGTTAGGAAGCAAGATGAAAAGCCTCATCTCTGAGATGCAGAAGATGAAAGTGAAACCTTGTTTTGAACGTGGGTTGCAGCGTGTTGTTAGATCTCTCCAGTCTTCACATCCTTTTTGCTCACAATCCAGCCCATATTAGAACCACGTCAAGGGCTAAAGCTTTACACCACAGCCCTCTTTTCTTCCACTCTAATCAGCCAAATGTAACACACTTTAATGCTGCTTATTCTGCAGCTAACAGCAGGCTCACCATTCTCCTTACCTTGACCTCATATTTGACAGGTACGACTACACATTCAAAAATATTCCAATGTTAATAGAAACACTCCTGCTTTGTTGCAGAGTAAGTAGTTTCACTATGACAACTCATCATCAACTGCATATTTTATTAAGCTATTGTGTTATTACACTGTAATTTATGGAAATGATTGAGATGCAATTTAGAAGCTGAGTAAACATCGTGTCCTTTACCTTAACAAAACACTTTCAATTATATAAAAAGACAACTGTCCCAGTCAGTTTTTAGTTCTGTTTAATTTCCCCTGCTGCAACTAAGTTCTCACATACATTTATATTCACAAAATCAAGGCAAGCATATCCCTACAGCTAAACAACTATGAAGTGCTAACCTGAATTCAAATTAAACTTTCAATAAAACGACACTTTTTCATAAAGTTGTCCAACCAATGCCCATTATTTATTAGATTTTCTTCGGCACAAGTTTTACCTCAACATGGTGTGACAGTTTAGATTGCTGCTGTTGCATGTTGACAGTCCATTGCCTGGAGGAAAATTAAAACCCGGCGCATTAAATATCCTGTTTCATTAACACCTATATAGATTTAAAATAGCTAAATAAATAAATGACATTTTCCAATCACCACAAACATGTCACGGCCTTCATGTAGAAAAATGAGTGGTTTGACGCCTCAAACTAACAAGGTCTCCATGTTAAAAAAAAGCCAGTGTGCCAAGATTACTTAGAAAAAAACATAAAATTAAAGAGGTGGCCAAAGCCCCCTAAAGTATTGAAAATTCATCTCTGGCTGTCACCTTCAATCTGTCATCTAATCAGTCCCTCTGCCTTCTCCACCTCCTCCTCTTCCTCCTCTTCTTCCCCCTTCCTCCAGACATTAGGGAGAGTGGAAGCCCCAAGCCGGTAATGGTTTTCATCCATGGGGGCTCCTATATGGAAGGAACTGGGAATATGTTTGATGGCAGCATCCTGGCCAGCTATGGAAATGTGATTGTCATAACTGTCAACTACCGGCTGGGCGTCCTAGGTAAGAATCCTGCTCTGCTGTGTGTTGAACAACTACTGTTCTCATGTTCTATCCTTTCTTTTGTAGTTTTCTTTTCTTTCCGTTATTGGTGAGTTTGAGCTATAACTAGGAATTTCATTTTGCAACTCTTTCTTTCTTTCTTTCTTTCTTTCTTTCTTTCTTTGTATCAGTCTCTTTTGATGATTATATGTGCTGCTGCTGATATTTTACAATGACTAGCCTAGCATAAAGGCTGAAACTTGGAATTGAATCTCTGAGCTTCTTTCTTTCTTTCTTTCTTTCTTTCATTCTTTCATTCTTTTTTTCTTTCTTTCTTTACATCAATCTCTTTTGGTGTTGCTGGTAACATTCTGGCATTTAACCGAGCCTGAGTACAAACACTAGTATTTTTCCTGACTGCTTTTTTCCTTGCGTTTTGGTGATTCCATGTGCTGCTGCTGGTGATAATCCAGAGAGCTTTGTTTAGTATGATGCATTGGTTCCGCCGGTCTTTGCTGTGGTTAAAAACTGGTTCAAACTGGTTGTTAGAGCTGATATCTGCTCTTACTGCGTTGCTGGACAGTTCAAACATTCAGATCCAACTGGATTTGAATGTTTGAGGTTTTTAGTCATGATTTGTCCTCCTCCTTTGTCATGGAGTAATATTTGTAAGGGCAAAGGCCAAGTATGCTTAACCTCTGTCTGTTGCAGACATAATGCTACCAACCCATTTTATATTGAAGATGTTTAGGATATTAAGGACATACAAATGTGATGTAATAGCTCAGCTTTCAATTTGATGATGGACATAATTTTGTAGTGACAGACCTCATATTCATATCAAGGCTACTGAACATCAGGGGTTTTGCTTGGACATAATGTGCTGTCCCTGTACTCACACATTTGTGTTGAAAATAACATCTGTTGCATAGCTGGATCTTGGGCTCTGGGGGTTGGCCCAGTTAGCACTTTATGCATCTACTCTCTCTGTCTGCTTTCTTACACTTTAATCTATCATGGCAATGTCTTCTCTGATCTTCAGCCCCTTCTTTTTTTCATTCCTGTCTCCATTTTCCTCCTCATCTATCTTATCTTTTCTCATCAGTCTAATTTCTAATTCCTTCTCTCCTGTGTATGGATGTCACAGCCTTACCCAGAGGGCAGGTATATATTGCGACACATGACGGAAACAAAGGCTCGCTGCCTCCATCCTAAATGAGATTGTGCTGTCATTTGTTTGGATGGAAGGAGCTGATTCCATTTCCACATTGTTTTGGTTTCTGGGGTTTTCTTTCTATCTTATTAAACTACAATGGAATAAAGATATAGGGCAATATCCACCTTTCACTCAACAGGCATACCATATATCTGTGTGTGTGTGTGTGTGTGTGTGTGTGTGTGTGAGTGTGAAGAACGGGCATAAAGGCTTTTTTAGATGTGGATAGCAGAACATGACACATCATTAATGTTTCCTGCAGGTGGTCTGCATTCTTCTGTGTTCTCTCAGTTTTAATTTAGGCCCTGATGTCTTTTACATGCTTCTTTTAAATTGCAAATACTATAATCTTTGATAAGCCTAATGTTTCCCTGCATATAAACATGCTGTTATTAAGTTTTCTGATGGATAGAAATCAGGTAATAGAAACTTAAGCTAAGTAGATGCCAGCGGAGCACTCATGGTTCACATCCCTTGGAGATATAACTGTCAGTCAGCTAGTGACTGGATGGACAACCCCCCTTGGAAACCTTCAAGCCTTGCCAAAACCACAGAAGTGGATATTAAACAAAGTAGTCCATCATCTGCAGTTACCAATCGTTCATCTCTTTTCAATACCCACATATCCCCCTTTAAGAGTCATGAGGGGGCAAGAGACTGTCCAAATGTGCAGGATAAACACATGTTTCATATACTGTATACAGATGGTGATAGAGCACAAACTGTGAAAATATGAATACGTACATTCACAACCTGTATGTGTTCGGGGCTGAGATTCAAATCCTGCTCTTTCCTGTTGTGAGGCAACAGTGGCAACCTCTGAGGCAATTAATACTCTCTATACACAACATGACCTTTGCTATAGCTACATGATAACATCCAGAAGCATCACACAAGTTCGGTTGTATTCTGGGTTTTGGGCTGCTTGTTTGACTGCACAAATAATTCAGATATTTTGGGTTTTGCTATTGGAAATCGCGAAGGCCTAGTTTCTTTTCATTGTCACATTTTATTGATACAATAAATTGATAAAATGGTGGATAGAATACTCAATAATGAAACTATATTAATGGCAGCCCTATTACCAGGCAACTTTGAGTTTCAGTAATTTAGAGCATGCTGTTCTCCAATTTCATATTTCCATGTGGACGTGGCCGGAAAAGACAAGCAAAGTAAAGGATAAATACTACCAAGCGAAACATCAACAGATCAATCAATCACATGTTCTTACTCTTATTTATTTCTTTATTTTGGATGTGCCAGGATCCCCAGTACCATGAATCAGGTCTTTGTGTGTCTCTCTCACTCTGTTTTCTATGTGTGAGCTCTTAACTGCTGCAGGCCTCATGGTGTTGAGGGAAACTGTATCCCTGCTGGTTAACATGAGGCGCTGCTGTTTGCTCTCAGATTAGACTCTATGTGTTTGTGTTTACCCCCCTGGCAATGGACAAAAGCATACGGCTTTACCTCACTAAACATGTGTATGTGTGAGTGAGTGACACTGAGAGAGTGTGTGCTCTGCTCCAGGAGGTCTAAGACTCATAACTGCTGGGCTTTCCAGTCAGTCATCCAGTTTGTACTAAGTATGTAACTGAGTTCAGTAAGTTGCTCCACTGCCAAAAATACCCATCTTAAGCCATTAAGTGTTAAGTGAGGTAAAACATATGTTATTATTATTCTTTTTTTTTTTTAACATTGTCAAAGTATTTATTTTGTGATATTGTGATTAATTGTCAAAGTATGTGAAATCATGCTAGAACCATATGAATATACCACAATATTTTCACTCTTGGTCTAGCTATAGGTGTGAACTTTAGTCAAATGACTTGAACTCAAGTCAGACTCAAGTCACAAATTTGTTTACTTTAACCTTAACTTAATACAGTTTAAAAAATACTTGACTTGTTCACAAGTGAGGGCAGAATGGAGCGTGAGATGGATTGGCGGGTTGGTGCGGCTTCTGTAGTGATGGGGCGCTGCGCCGGTCCGTCGTGGCATCTGACTAGGATACCTCCTGGGCATCTCCCGCTGGAGGTGTCCCAGGCACGTCTCACTGGTAGGAGGCCCCGGGGTAGACCCAGAACACGCTGGAGGGATTACATATCTCGTCTGACCTGGGAACGCCTACGGGTCCCCCAGGAGGAGCTGGAAAGCATTGCTGGGGAGAGGGATGTCTGGGGTGCTTGGCTGAGCCTGCTGCCCCCGCGACCCAGCCCCGGATAGGTGGATGTAAATGGATGGACTGGACTTGGACTCTTAACTCCATGACTTCTGACTTTACTTGAACTCTAGGCTTTTGACTTGAAAATACTTGATACCCTACCGCAAGCCCTAGATTAAAAACTATGGTTTTTAAATTTGTGCTACAAATCAATTAATTTCCCTTCATTACCTGAATCAGCCATTGTCAACACTATTCATTTCCAGCGAGTCAACACATAATTCTCCAAATCCACTTTGTTTAAACTAATCTGACAGCATCCAATCAAGTTACAGGAGATAACTGTTAGGAACTACTGTTCCTTTACTGAGCGCCAGTTGGAGGACCCCAACTGGCGCTCAACATCTTCCAACTTGTTTGACATTTAAAGTTTCATAAAGACTGGTAAGGTGAGGCTAACATAGCTAGCAAACTAATGCTTAGCTAACATTAATACTCTGTTGTTAAAATGGTCTTACACTTGGTTAATAGCGCATTTTGACTTGTTTGTGTCTCAAACCTTAAAGTTAAGGACTATGGACTTGTCCATCTTGACTTGGGAAATGACCTTGGGTTTGGAAAACCCTTCCAATTGCCCCGATCCCACCCCAGGCAGGTGCCATGTTTTTGAAGAGCCTCCAGGAGCAGACCATGACTGACTATGCATGACAATGAAAGGATGAATGAAATCAGGTGAATCGCATCCACCGGGAACCACGAGGTACTACACATTACAAAAAGACATTTTAACATCCTTGGCTAAAAGACTAGAAACAGTGTATAGCCTGCTAACACATTCCTTCATTAATAACTTTCAAGTGTCTCCCAGACTCATAATTATGTTCTCCAGCCAGCCAGTTAGCCTCCGTTGGTTAAAGTGTGCAGTTGACCTTACCCAGCCAGCCATTGCAGCACCTGTTCGCTTGGAGATGCTGCTCCGCTGACAGAACTCCCTACTCTCGCACCAGTGATTTTTCTCCTTGGCTTAGTGTGTGTTTGTCTGTGAGAGCGAGCAGTTTGCAGGAAGCCATTAGTGGCTTTAAATATGCAGAGCTGCTGACGCAAAGCTGTATTTATCGTTTAAGGGCCTTGGCTACAATGGATTTGGCCATGGGGCACGTATATAGTATGCTACTGTCAGTGTGTGTCCACTGGTGTGTATGAACGTGTGTGTTTAATGAATTAGGAGTTTATCCAGGGTGCAGATGGAGTGTTAATGGAACACATGGTATAGCGCTGTCAGAGAGTCATTATTAAGGGTGGCAGGTATTTATTGTTACTGTTTTCTCACTCCTCCTTGGGTTATAATGGGACATTCTGCTGTTTGGTGGGTTTTGTTTTACTTAACACTTGAACTACTTAAGGAACTACGTACTATATCATGCAAATAGACTATTTATATATTCAGACAAGTGAGAAATGATGCTACTCTGAGGGATGCTAGAAGGCAGTGTCATTATATTATCATGTAGAGGTCTGTCTTGCCCTTAACACTGTGTTATCCTCCACTATGTCCCTGATGAATATATCATAACAGTGATTGCTGTGAGTTGTTGGCAGTTTAATATCTATGAGATCCAAACAAGAACACTGCGCCAACATGCA